CGGAGATTGGAGGTCGGAGATTGGAGGTCGGAGAGATGAGGTCGGAGAGAGGAGAGATGAATTTTTTAAAAATACCTAAAATGCCCTCTAATTATAATTTTAACTTAAAATACCATAATTACTAATTTCCTTATTTATCCGTTGATTTGTGGTTAAGATTGGTTCTCACAGTTACCACAAACTAATCAGTTCTCTCTTGAATGGGCCCCTATATATATATATATATATAGAGAGAGAGAGAGAGAGAGCGAGAGCGAGGTGAGTTATTATGCAACATTTTACATTTGTATAACCAATACAACTCAATCTCAAGCGTCCATTTAATTTGATGAGTATGTGATTTTATAAAAGTTTTGATTATTTCTTAATATAAAATATTGATCATAATTAATGAACTCTAGTCATATTTCTTAAATATTCAAATCATAATAAATGAACTCTAGTCATATTTCTTAAATATTCAAATCATAATAAATGAACTCTCATCATTTCAAAAAATATCTCAATTGATTGGGTTGCATTAGTTGTACAAATGAACATGATTGCATTTGAAATATACTCTATATGTATATTATATACATAACATCAATGTAGAATCTTTTATTTAAATGATACAACAACTAAAGTAAAGTTGGCCAAGTTTGTAAACACCAATTGATTAATAAGTTGGTACTTAGTTCAACTAACATCAATTTATGTACCATAGAATCTTGATTTATTGTGTTCTATAATTTATCCCCTTTTTAATCTTGTCTTTAGTGTTTTATCGTTTGTAATTCTAATGATGTTATTTTTAGTATTTTTTTTTAATCCTAATTTAATATATAATTAATTTATTACGTCTAATTAAACTTATACTTTATATATTAAGACTGATATGAGATACATATTACGAACTTAAATTCTTAACTATTTTTCCTATCTGCAAACAACAAGACTGATTATTGAGTCATCAATCTTCCGGAGATATATGAATCGAACTCGTCACAACCTTGCAGTCGAAACTATCATCGCTATGATAAAATCGATAATCTTATTACTTTCAGATCAACTATATACATAATATCAAATCTACTGACTATCCAAGTAAAATGCTAAATAACATGTCCGATCCAAGAAAAATATACATTTTGTGTAAAATAAATGCAACGTTTAATCTGATATACGTTTTAAAGGGGGGGGGGGGGGGAATTAACTTATAATCGAAAACCTAAAAGACCCATTTCAGTAAACAATGTCGAAAAACTCAAGCACGACAGCTAATGTTACTAATGGTGATGTCATTCAGTGCTCGATAATCCACGCAAAATCTCCACCTTCCCTCGGTGTCCATTCGAAAGGCGTTGACTTTCATTATCAGGGTATTTTCGAGGGACGAAAGATGCATGTGGGGTTTCGTACCCGATTTAAAGCAAACATTTCAGACTGTCTTACAATGATTATTAATAGATAAATACATAGTTTTTTTTTTTCCATGCATTGATCATATCATTAATGGACCATACCACAAAATAATTGTTAAAAGTAGGTCCATCATTTTATGGTATGCCAAATACTTACAACATGTTGTCTTATTTATCTCCTTAGATATTAATGCATTTCCAATTAATGAAAATACCAAATATCCCTTTGTAGGGCAAATTACATCAGAACAAAACAAACTTTTTTTTTTATTAACCTGGATATCCAACCAGATATGCGAGTCGATTAATTTCAGAGCGACCATCGATTTTGCGGCTAGCCCGGAGTCAGCGCATTTGAATCTTTGTGGTCACAAAGAGATTTTTATTCCTCATTGGATTTGAACATAAGACCTACAGACACGTTTGACCTCTCGAGTCAAGCTCAAACCAATCAGACAACACTTTTATGGTTAGAACAAAACAATTTTGCTTTCGTTATTATTTAGAAGGTCGTTTTTAAGACCTTCATTCTGGAAACCAGCTTTCAAGATTCCTCATTTAACGGATATGATGACAAGATTTATGAACCAATTCAAATAAACCATGTATATCTCACATACAGGTAAGATATGAAAATGTATGGTGTATGTATACTTTGTCTCTATCTATTTGAACGTAGAATGTCATTGTGAAGACTACATACTTGTAAAACAAAACCAAAAAATGAGACGAGTGAGAAATACAACATAGTAACGTAAAAGCGTCTGCAAACCCGTAATAAATACGATTACTATAAAATAGAACAAAGTGTCTAGGGTTGGGTCAGTAGGGTTATTTTCTTTTAAACAGAGGTTTTTTTTTTGTTCTTGTGGTTTTGAAATTACAGATGACTATCATGGTTTACAAAAACGTTCGTATTTGACCTCTCCTTTTAACAGTTGTAAAATATTTCCAATATATTATGGGCATTTTTGTCTTTTTATCTATTTTTTTTTTTTTTTTTACTTAAGCAAAAACCACATCGACCAAAAATCATATCGATTTTGACTTGATAAAAAGACAAAAAATTGATAAAATGACGAAAATGCACTTCATGTAACGGAATTTTTTAATGGTTGTTAAAGGAAAGGACCAAATTGATATATCTTGTAATTTCGAAACTATAGGAACGAAAAATATTAATTTCGACAAACCACAATGACTAAATCTGTAGGGTTACTCTTAATTTTATTTCAACGCAATTTACAGTTTTATACATCGACAAAAATTCGATCCCGACATTTCTGATTACTTGATATTTATCAATTATTCCTAGTTTAAATAATTTGTCTCTCGTATTAATTTATCTTATCATTATTCACAGATACTTTCTCAATATACGTTTAATGACAAGATAATATTGTAAAATATGCTCATAAATTTGGGGGTCGCTTACCTAAATGCTTATCTGGTAAGCGTTTATCTTTAAGAGTCAACACTATAATTTATTTTATCAGGTAAGATTGTAATACATCAAAACGTATCTTATTGAACAATTTTCATAATAAACGCTTATCCGGGTAAGAGTCGTTACCCTCACTTACCGGGTAAGATTCTCGATCCTTATTATCGCTCTTACCGGGTAAGATTCTTACCCCTTACCATGTTCATCCGATGAAAAAAATTGCCCAATAAATACTTACCGGGTAAGCGTTTAGTAAACGACCTTTTAGTAATAACTATTTTTCCAATAACAGTTAATTTTCGTATAAAAAACTACTCATAAATTACTCGTACTTGATACTTTAAATTCAAATTCAAAGCTCATTAATTCTATCAACGCCTTATGGTATAAACAAATTGAGTTAAAACTATGAAAAAAATATGTATTTATTTAAAGAAAATAAAATAAGCTATATAAGGAAAGAAACATTCATATAAATAAAAACAATAGTAAAAAGCATGACTATGTTTCAAAAGCAACTCATTACATTTGTACAACCAATGCAACTCAATCAATTGAGATATTTATGGAAATAATAAGAGTTCATTTATTATGATTTCAATATTTATGAAAGATGACTATGGTTTATTAATTATGATCAATATTTTATATTATGAAATAATCAAAACTTTTATGACATCACATATCCATCAAACTAAATAAACGGTTGAAATTAAGTTGTATTAATTGTACAAATATAAAAGATTGCAAAATAACTCACCTCTGAAAAGCATTATCAGTTTTAAGTTGAAAATTCAAATTAATTTGAAGGATGGAGATATATGTTAGGTTGACATTAATGAATATTGTCTCTTTTATGTTATCCTTCATTGGCCCACAAAAATTATAATATTTAGATGGTGAAATTATTTATTATAATTATTATAATAATTACAAATAATTTAGATTATAAGAAAATAATGTTTTTTTGGTTTTTTCCGATATACACAAATACTGATTAGTTAATTTGTGCTGACTGATTGTTATATTATTTTTGGAATTATCGGTGCTAACGAATTGACAACTGTTTTTGATCTTGTTTGGGTCGATTTGATTTTTTAAAATATGGGTTGTTAAATATTGTCGATATTACAGTTTGATACAGATGTGTGTACGTTGCAGTTGTATAAAAATAATCAATAACCATATATTACAGATTAGGAATTAGTCTTCTCATTGCTATCAATCTCTGGGTTATGTTGGTCTTACAGTTCAACTAAATTTTACGGGAATGAGACATAATCGATCATCGACAGAAAAATTTTGACTGTAATTTTCAGTATTAATCGATCCTCTTTGATCTCGACTACTCTAGGTTACTTGGTCAAGTCTTTCCCAGTAGGCATGGCAACGGGGCGGAGATGGGGCGGGTTTTGTAATCCCCTGTCCCGGCCCCGGTTTGTAGTAACAACCCCCGGCCCCGGTCCCCGACGGGTACAAGGATTATCATCCCGTCCTCGGTCGAATATTTAGCAATCTCCGGTCAAAACCCGGTAAAACCCCGGTCAATCCTCGGTCAAACCTTATAAATAGTATCATTTAGTTTAATTCTACCGGAGATCCCTAGCCCCGGCCCCAGTTTTAGTAACATCCTCCGTCCCCGGTGTGAGTCTACCGGGGATCCTCGGCCCCGGGACCCGTTTTAGCGGGGAATCCCCGTCCCCGTTCGGGTCAGGTGAATCGGGTTTCCCACCGGGTCGGGGTAAATCACCATCCCTATTTCCCAGATCAAATTCTAACGCTTACCCGTATTTATTTTCTTGTCGATTTTCATTAAAATTAATTGTTAAATATGTCGAAAACAGTTATAAAACATGTCAGAAATCTAAATCAACGACAAATTTCTTATCATTTTGTGTCGTTCAAATCAATCATGTCTAAAATATTAAATGGGACCCACAAGGAAGATAGGCAAAATTAAATGTTAAATTAATAATAAAAATTGAGACAAAGAAATCCTACTTCTAAACATATTGCAATCAACACTATCTTTAAATAAACGTACAAACACCTACCTTTCATTTTCATCATAAATACACATCTCTCTCTTTAGAAAATTCCATTTTCTTATTTTTTTTAAATTTATTTTTCTCCTAATAATTTATAAGTGACCGTAATAATACGCAGCAGAAGAAGAAGCGGCAGGAGGGAACTTGTCAAGAGCGTGTATGACCTCTTTCATGTGCGGTCTTTTTTGTGGTACTGGAGATATACAGTTGTAACCTAATCTCAAGATTGCCAACAAAGCTTCTTCTTTCCCTTCCATTTCGCCACGAATCGCCACGTCAGCCATCCGTAACACCTTATTCTTCTCTTCATCCGTCAAAATGGAACTCCACGTCATGCTGGCGGGTCCGAACTCATCCGACACGATCACCTTCCCCGTCAAAAGCTCTAGCAACACCACGCCATACGAGAAAACATCCCATTTGGCGTTGGGCTTTAGGCTTCTGAGCGATTCAGGGGCATAATACGGCGATATGCACCCCATGGCACTAGGGCTTGGGCTAGGGTTTGACCCTACTAAAACGTCCTGGAAGCTATCTCGAGATGCAGTCGACCTTTTGCTGCCGAAATTCCGTGACGAACCCCCGACTTTGCAACTGTTTTCGCCCACCACCAGCCTTTCCAGCCCGAAATCCCCTATCTTCGGCTCCATGTCCGAGCCTAATAAGATGTTACTCGGCTTAAGATTTCCGTGTACTTGTTTTTTGTCGTGGATATACATCAACCCTCGAGCCGTACCTTTCGCGATTCTCAACCTCACGTCCCAAGGTAATGGACAAGGCGACGATCCAACTTTTCCTGCACAACGTACAACCGCAAATTAACAAATTATCCAATGATGTGTCGTTTTCATTTACAAAGTTATACATTTATAAGATACTTTAGGACATGTCTATTGCTATAATATGCCATGGGCTAAGGGTTAAAAAAAATAATAAAAGCGACCTACTACACGACAGTTGACTTGTGGTGTACCACCGGGTTGCATTAATAAAACAAAGGCTTTAGTTATAACCACTCCACCATCCACCGTCAACTCACGTAGTCAACATTATGATTGATGACTTGCTAACCTGCGCATGTATGACTACACATACATCTGATTAAATTATAATTTGGAAACACATTAATACCATTAAAATATGTTATACCAAAATTAGACATTTTTATTGTTACCCCGTTAATGAAATTAAGATATATCTGATTTTTTTTAATACTTTATTTAATTTTATATTTTTTACGCTTTTATCTCTATTCCGCCAATGAAATTAAGACATATCAGATATATTTTTTGGTTTTATAATTGTGAAACAAATTTAAGTTTTTTTTTTAATAATTAGTATATTTATATTAGCCTCTATGCTAACATGCACGATGATGAATGCTAACATGCGCATAAAGAAATAGCAAGAATACTTACTGTAACGTGCATTGGCTAAGCTGCCATGAGGAATGAAGTCGTAGATAACGAGCTTCTCATCCGCCCCCCAATAAAACCCACGGATCCGAACCAAATTCGGGTGGATCAGTTTCGCAATGACCCGAACTTGGTTCTCGAAATCCCTGAACCGCTCCAACCCGCTCTCGCCGATCCGCCGGACGGCCAACGCCGTGCCGTCCTCTAGCACCGCCTTGTATATGATACTCGAACCGGTGGCGCCAAGTATATAAGCTGAAGCTTTCAACAGTGTTTCAAGTTCTAACTTTTTATCGCCGCCGTCAACCGTCACCAGCTCTCCTTTCTTCTCTACTTCTTTCGCCGTTGAATTATCATTTTTCCGGTGAGGCGCCACCGTCAACTCGGTTTCTTCGCTTTCCGAAGTTGTACTTTGAGTTGATGATTCTTCGTCTTCGGTGACTCTTCTTTTTATCAAACATGCCCATGAACGTAACCATTTGCGTTCTTGATCTTCCGACGATGATGCCCAATCGTATTCTTTATTGCCGCCATTATTGTCGTGCTTTTGATTGCTGTTTGATGCGTCTTTTTTGCGTTTTTTTAGTATATAGATGAAAATAGTGGCTAAAACTGCTATTCCGGCGATGTCTCCGACCACGATCCCGACGATTGTGGTGGTTTTGAACCCGGGCTTTGAAGATGCACTCCGGGTGTTCGACGAATTGCTTGAAGAGGAATCGGCGGTTTTTGGGATGGCGGCAATGGCAGGAGGAGACGTCGCCGGTGAGGAGACGTTCGGTGGTTTGGAAACGGAGGAAGGGATCAAACACAAGTTGGTTAAGGGCTTGCCGCAAAGTCCATAATTTCCGGCGAAGGATCTCTTGTCTTGATTAAAGAAAATACTGGATTCCGGTATTGCTCCGGTGAGATTGTTAAACGACAAATCAATGGTAGCATTTGTCGAAATTTTGTTCGTGAATTCCGGCGGAATCTCACCGGAAATATTATTATGGGAAACGTTGAAGAAGACAAGATCACCACTTCCAAAATCACTAGGTAAAGACCCATTAATGAAATTGGCCGATAGATCTAGAAATCTTACTGAATCAAACCCATTTGGAAGATTCCCATGAAAATAATTATCTTTCAAAGAAACCACCGTCAAATTAGAAAGTCCGGCGAGACTCTCCGGCACCTTTCCGTTCAACAAGTTACCGGAAATGTTTAGAAACTGAAGACTTTTCCATCCTCTAACGAGCTCACGAAGCTCGCCGGAGATCAAATTATTCGAGAAATCAAGAAACTTAAGCTCTGTAGCATTATACAACGACAATGGAATCGACCCATTAATCGAATTATTCGACAAATCAAGTTTCATAAGATGCTGAATCAATCCAAGATTGGCGGGAATGGAAGCACCAAGTTTCGAGTTAGGAAGCGACACCCCAGTGACACGGTGGTCCGCCACAGGGTCGCCGGAACCGCCACAGAAAACGCCATTCCATGAACATGGAGACTCATCAGAGTAACTCCAGTTATCTAAAACACCAAGAGGATCATTCAAAACAGAGTATTTAAAGGAAAGCAACAAAACCCCATCTGTAGTTAACCCTAAAGACTGGTTCACAAGAAGAAGAAGAAGAAGAATGGGAAGACATAAATGGAGGTTGATCATGGCGTTCATGGCGATTGAGTGAAAAAATCCGACATTTTTGTGTTGGTTTCTAGTAGAGAGAGAAAGGTGGGGATATTAAGTGAGATTTATGACAAACAGAGGGAGGGCCATGTGAAGAGGGATAGTAGTGAGGTAAAATAAAGAGAGACAGAAGCACAGCTCACCTCAAAATCAAATTAAACTACAAATCCACAAACCAATATGCTCTGTGCTGTTCAGACCTTTTTTGACAAAATATAAAATAAATTCATTCAGATGTAATCGATGAACATTGAAACCAGTGTGATACATCTGGATAGCTTTTCTAGCTTAAATTTCAATCCGTTTTCTATTTCCGGTGTTTGAGATTTCTTATTTGAAACAACTTATATTTTTTTATAAAATATTTATTAATTTATTTTAAGTTGGAGGGTGTACAGATTCCACATATATTCTTTATGTATGTTAAATGTAAGGGCCTTTGATATTTTGGGGCCCAAATTTGCATAGTTTAGGGTCTTTTATCGACCTGTGCAAAACTATATCCGAAATTATTTATGTTCAAAGCATTAATGATTTAGGTTTAGTTTCAGATTGTTAATCGTTTTAGGTTTAGCCCAATATATTGTTCTTAACGTATATTCTCTGTTATCTCATTTATACAATGTAATCAAAAGTTTTGGATATAACAGAGCTTCCAAAAATATTGGAACGTCCCTATATGAGAACCACGGTTTACAATTCTAGAGACATGATACTCTATAATAATTTGTACTCGTTTAGCCCTTTCGACATTATGTGATGGTTATGTTTGTCTAGCATTTGTTGGAGAGGACGTGTTAGAATATCACATCATCTAGATTTTGACTATTTTCTATATATATGTTGAAATTCTCATTCTCCATCAAATGCTCTTTTGGAGGGTAATCTAGGGGTTCCATATATTCTCACATGGTATCAGAGTCAAGTTCTACACCCAAAATGGCGTGTTAGAGTTCTACTGTTCTACATTGGTTATACTTGGAATATATGTTGAAATATCATTTCTCTCTTTACAAACTCATTTTGAGTGTAATTTAAATTCCAACATCAGATAATTTAATACTATAATATATAAAATGACAAAAATTATCAGAGTTAAATGTATTTTTTTTACTTTATAGTAAATTTATTTTTGATTCTCTTACCTTTTACTCTTAATATATTATTTATTATAAATATAATATAATAATAATAATAATTGTATTTAATATTGATATGCAAAAAGAGACATTTATTCTAAATTTAGCAAGCACTAATAATTGATTAATGGAGAGAAAAAAAGGGGGATGGCATCTTTGCTACAAGACACCATAAAAGGTAATGTTAGATGTGATTCAGGAACCTTGTCACACATTTGACTTTTTTTATATAAATTAGAATTTAATTATTTCTTTTTTTTTTAAATAATAATATAATATTTTGATTTTCAACCTTTAATGAATAAAAAAAGTATTTTTATCAAATATATCACTTAAAATTGCAATAATTTTTTTTTAATGTTTGTTAATTTGATTATCATAGTTTGAATTTTTATTAATTTAATCATTTTTTTTAAAAAGAAGTAATGAATTGTTCAAACATTTATGTAATTGTATGTACTTTAGTTTTTTCCGAAGCTCGTTATACTTTTTCTTGGTCGCATTACTGAGCATCGATTAATCATTCGAGTGACGAGAAACGACATGGTGTCAGATGAACCTTCATCGCCATGAGGTTTTGGTGCAGCATCTGGATTCAAATTCAAGATATTGAGATTTTCACTACATCCCTCTAGACATTAACCAGTGCGCCAAGACCCAAATGGTTAAACTTGTTATACTTGTCAAATTCCTGAAATGGTATTTATGGATATGTTTGTCTAATAAACTGAATATTAGCTGGAATCTAGTTGTTGATTAATAAGTTGATTGTTAACTAATAAACCAGTTGGGTTTCGTACAAAACAACTAATAAACTACATAACAACGTGAACTAAATCAATTATAAAAAAATATAAGATGGTGACAATTGAGAAACGAACTTTCCGAGTCGGGTATAGGGAGAGGGTGTGGATTTTATCAGGGCGGTTATGGACACGGTTTTGGTTATCGGTTCGAAGACGAGGATATCAATAACCGGTCCGTTGCCATTCCTACACAAAATCAGCCCCTTAGGAACCACATATGAGTAGAAATTTCAAAGTGACTTACGGCTGATGCTAGCAGACGGGTTCAATCCCCTCTCCAGTAAGATGACAGATTTAGAATTCGAACTCGAAGATATAACGTATTTTAGTACAATTTTCGGGTTTCATTTGTATTTCTATGATAAAATCAAATACAAAAGATGTGGAAAAGTTGCATCTTGGAGGGAGAATTTGGAATTTTTGTTGAGGTACAAGAAGGGAAATGACAAAAATGACCCCCATAGAAATAAATGATTGGGATCCACTTGAAAAGGGTGGGAACCCTGCAGAGGTCACAAAGAGTACTGCATGCCTTAAATACATAGTTGGTGTATGTATATCAATATGGTTTTGGGGTTGTTGGGTACCAGCCTGTGCTTGATTTTCTTGATATTTTTTTTCAGGTCATAGTACAAGGTACTCCCAAAGGGCATTTTCGTAATTTTGTCATGAATTTACGTTCGTGCAAGAAATACGGCGACTTTTCAAGGGAAGTTTCAAATCGATAACGTTTATGGCCATTTGGTGAAGGAAAAGGTAGGGTTATAGTGATGAATGATGTAAGGCTATGGTTAGACAGAACAATTTTGACCAGTATATGTAAAAATAGGTTGATTTGTGTAGTGAATTTTATTTGGACGAGTTTAATCAGTACACGAAAAGAGTTTAGCTGATAACTGAAACATATCGCGATTGATCTAATGGTTGCTCGCAGTCAAATGTGTAAAATCTTTTAAATTATTTTGTGTAAAAAATTGAATTCGTTATTTTAGTAACAGTGTTTGTAATCATATTTAATATATCAGTATTTTCTAAAACTCCAAAAAAAGGACAAGGGTGTCGGTAGCAGCCGAACTCAACCAATCCAGTACTTTGACATGCATAAAAAATTATTTATTGACTGGAAACCCTTTTGATATGTTCCTCAATTTCACCTGACCTGCTCATTTTTTTCCACATGTAAGCTACAATGCCTTAAGGTGTCAGGTAAAGTGATTAAAAGAAACCGTCAATTTTCTGAGAAGATGATTGTATATTAAGAAAATAGTTGCGGTGAGAAGACACGTAAAAAGGTTTAACTTTAGGGAAATCTATATCGAACACTCCATAATGAAGCCAAGTAAAGGCGAGGACCATAATCATAAATGCGTAATAAATAGAGTCGAAGGATTGTATATGTTCTTCCTTCTTAATGGAAATCTTTGCAGTAAATTGTGATTTGGAGTAGTTCAGATAAAAGATGTATTTAATGAGATTGTAAAGAACCGACAACGGCTTGGAAAGCCGTAAAAGCAGTTGTTTGTAGACAAATATGATGGAATTCCGTTATTGTCTCATTCTCGAGCATTGGCGAAGAAACCCATGTAGAAATTAGTGAGAAGTTGTGTGTTCAAATGAAGAAAAAAAAAGCAGAGTAATTTCGGTTATGCAAGTTTTCATCAACAACTTAAGGCATTTCTGGTATGTCAAGGTTATATTTTGATACTAATCCGAAAATGATAAAAAGACCAAATCGTCCTTGAGTTAACGAGTTAGGATTTAACGGGGTAAAGACAAGAGACCAATCTCACAACAAAATATAAACCACAGGGACGATCCATATACTTTAGAAACGGAATCCATAAATTAGTGTAAACCACATGGACATAAACACATAATTCACTCTCTTCTGGGAAAGAAGTTTACTTCCGGCAACCCTAAACAGTCTCATATAGAACCCGCCTTCAAATACACTAATGTGGGAGACACTTTTTGGCCCATTTAGTGGCTAAGACTAGCAGGGGGCATGATCAAGCTCGAGAACCTATTTTGTATTTGGGGCAAAATCTTTCCGCCCCTTTGTCAACTGAGGTACACAACAGTCACAAATTGTTTCTTCGGTTTTATTTTAAAATTCTTGTACACCTTTTGTTGAATATAAATTTTAAAAAAGTGGAGGACCATACATATCGGTTTTTACTGCATTTAATCATATTATAATTTGTTACAAATTGATGATTTGATGTGTGCACCCTTGATTAAAAACTTAATTAATGCTCGCCAATCATGTTGTTTTTGGTTGGAAAAAAAACTAATGATTGATTAAGGTTGTGTTTGGTAAACTAGCTATTAAGTTAGTTGTTAACTGATATGGTTCGGAAAATAGTTACTTCATTCGTTTTTAAAATAAATGTTCACGGTGAAAAAGACAGACAGAAATCGAAGGAGAAGAATAATCTCTCTTCACGATTTTATTTGATAATCGTTGTTGTTTTAAAGTCTTCATCTCTTTGTGATTCAATGTGAGTTTTATTTTTAAAAAAAGCATCTTTCGATTTGCTTTTGGTGAAGAAACCGTATGGTTTCATACTTGGAATTTTTGAATATGTTATTATGCTATCTATTAGCATAATTTTGGATTTCGATATGTTATTATCAACTGGTTGGAATAAGGGTAACATAATCAAGAGAGACGTATTTTGAGATAAATGTGACATAATAAGGAGAGACGTATTTTGGGATAAGAGTGATATAATCAAGAAAGACTTGATAAAGGTAGCAAAATTAACTATATGTTAAAATGAAATATATGGTTTCATACAAATATAAATTTAGGGTGTTACATAAAAATAAAAATAAAAATAAATGTGATTTTAAATGTCAAATCAGAGACTGTTGAATTTTCATAGGTTCTACTTGTTTTTAAGGCCAATTTTCAACTTTTCATTTTACCTCCAAGGGGAATATGGGACATGGGTGGGGGCAAGAAGCAAAGGGGCATGCAATGGAAAATAGTACTTCTTAATAAAATATTTTATTTCATCGTTTATTTATGTATTTCTAGAAACAACCTGTATTT